TTTATCGGATATTTTATTATATAATTCTTTTAAGAAACTTTTCATCTGTAGATTATTTTTCTCTTCTCTTCCTCATCCTCTCTCTTTCTCTTTCTCTGACTCTAAATATATTTTCTATTAATGTAGATTTATGAATTACTTTCTTTAATATATAATTTTACTAAGAAATATAAAATATATTCTTTTTTTTTTACTTCTATTTTTACGAACAAGACTAAATTTATGGTAAATCAATTTTTCAATTGAAATATTGAATGAAATTTTTCTTCTTTTTTTAAAAAAAATATAAAAATTATATACATCTTGTAGAAAGGAATATATAAATATAAAATTTTCATTGATATAAGCTATGTAATATTAAATAAATACAAAATAAAATGATATTATATACGAAAATTCAGGTATAAACTTCATAAATAATTATTTTTTTCCATTTGTTTTCTTTACATAAAAGATAATTATTGATTCTTTTCTTAGCTTAACTATGATATATTGTAATAATAGAATTTTTTTTAGATATAATTACGAGATCAATATAATATTTCAACTTATATTTTTTATTTTTTTTGTCTTATTTTTTTCTACGAGGTCTTAAGAAAAAAAAATATATATTCTTGCACATGCAAAGTTACTTTCACTGGTTGTCATGATTCTTATTTTCAGTATAGCAATATATCAAACATAAATAAGTAAAATTTATCATAGGTTTCTCTCCTTTAAGAAAGAAAATAATAGTAGAGGAGTGGTATCAACTGAGAATGAAGAAAAACAATCTTTTTAAAATTGATCAATATACATTCCAATTTAAAAAAATATATATATAGGTCCTACTCATTTTCTTTTCTAATTTTATCAAAAATTTGAAAAAAAAAAAACATTTTTCTTAATTAAAATCTTTTATTTAATAATTACAAGTTTAATACATTAATATTTTAAATAATACTTTAATTGATATTTTCTATTGCTGTAGACAATAAAAAAATGCCAATTATTTTTATTTTTTAGAATGAATTTTGTGTAATAAAAGAGGGTAAAAAAGATGCTGTTCCTACTTGCGAAGAGAGAAAAATTAAATTAAAATTGATGCATTTATCTAAAAATATGTTTAAATTATATAATATTATATGTTTTATTATTATATATTAACAAATTGTTAATAATTTTTATAATTATAAATTTTTTTCACTCTTATTTGGTGATAAAAATGATAAATACTTGCTGTTAAAAGCTGCAAAAGCTTATGTTTTATCATAATAATATAACCGGAAAATATTTGTAACAAAAGAAAAAATAAGTAGAAAATATCTATATTAAATCCTATATAAATTATATTAAATAAATGTAGATAAAACATAGTTAAAAATTAGATTAAAGTGAATAAGATTTAATCAATACTCAAATAGTAAAGTATAAAGCTGAGATTTTGAATTAAGTATACATTAATTAACTTCAGAATGTATAATTTCCTTAAACAAAACTGCGAGAAATCGTTAAATACATAATCTTAATTACATTTTGCTGTTGTTTTGCATAATAAATCATAAATAATTGAAGAATGTCATAAATTGTATTGTATAAGAAGAAATTTAGATGATTTATTTACTTCATAAACATTAAAAAAATAAACTATAGTTGCATTTATATTATACATAACGACGAATTCGAAGATAAAAGATATAGACGACGATAAAACCAGGAATTTTTACTATTAATATAGAAAAATACAATAGTAGAAACTATCTAATCTTCTTGTAAAAGTCAAGATTTGTGCTATTTTGTTTGATTAGTATTTATTCTAACCTTTAATAAATCATGAATAAGAAAGAATAGTATCGATAAAACTAAAAATATTATAAGAAATAAACAAATTTTTGTTTAATCTCATAGCATTTGAGAATAATATATTCATAGATTATGCATCTGGGACGAAACAGCAATGTAAAGAAAATGCCTTTACTTGAATTGCAGATTTAACAGGAATGTCGATATAGACTTGTAGCGAACACTATTAACTGTAAATGACTGAAATCCATTAAGGATAGCTTTCTCAATGAAGAAAAGCCGGTGATAAAAGTGGTGTCAATCCGGCCATAACATGATTCTCTCATCACGCTATAGCTGTCACAATACATCATAGGAGTTTGTTTTCAGCTACCGTTACTACTGTTGAACAGTGGAATATGAAGAAAAATATGGCCTAGTAAAAAAAAAAAAACTTTAAAAGATTTCTTAAGTTGATTATTTTTATTCATTTCACTATTAAATGAATTCTAGAACCGAACAACTCATTTAATTATGAGTTGAATTCGGTTTTGCTTTATCCATTAAAAAGAATTTCCTTCCTTTAACTAGTTAAGTATATCTGGAAAAATCTTCAACTTTTTCTTTCTTTTTCATCATTAAATAGCTTTAGCTTATTAAAAATCAGGATAACAACACTGAAAGAATTTTCTAAATTAAAATTGAAACGTTATTTACTCCTGTAATGCAAGTTTTAATTACGATTAATGTAATAAATGAAAGATGTTCTCGTTACAAAAGAGAAAATAAGAAAATATAACGAATTATAAGAGAGAAAAAGGATGCAAAAATAATCATCGTAGCCAATTTTATAAGAGTTTCTCGGCAACGTGATCTTTTATGATATTAACTACAAAGACAAGACTTTAGTGCAGATTAGTATTTTTATCATCTCCAAGTAATTGAGTTTGGCTATTATCCCTTTATCGTTTGACTATAAAGTGAAAATTCGGACAAAAAATCTAGTAAAATAAATCAGTAATGATCTAAGATGACTATATTCAATGGATACATGAAAAAAACCACTTTAAAAATTATCAAATTTACCATTAAAAAATAAAAAAAAAAATTTTTTTTATTATTAAGAAGGTAAATAAATTTAAACAACAAAAGATCATTTATATTAATAACATACTAAAATAAATTTATTTCGTTTTTTTTATACGCTATTATTTTTTACTCCTTTATTTAAAAAGATAAAAAAAAACAATCCACTTAAATGCTTTTAAATAACGGAAAATTATATTTATTTTAATTCAGAAAAGACAATTATTAAATATACAAAATCAATCAATAAAAAAATATATAGTTTTCTTGATTTAAAAGATTGTAATTTCCATTTCTGTCTAAAATCTAATTTTACTTCGTTAACCATTTTTCGAATAAAGAATCAGAAATGGTTAATTTTATCTCTAATTATTTCCGATACATCAAGCAATCATTTACTGAATCATTTATCTTCATTTTGGATGCATTTCATAAATGATGTTTCATATATTACTTGCCCAGGTGCACGTTTACATGTTCACTTATTACATCTACAGGTACAACTAATAAAATATAATCTTATACATAAAATTTAATTATTAGAATATTCTAATAGAATTGTTTCTGTTGTATAAATACAGGGATTTTACTGAAGTTTCTTATCGATCTTCTTCTTCTTCTTCTTCTTCTTTTTCTTCTCTCTTAAGTTATAAACATGATATATATATATTCCTTTTTGTTTAATTATTCCATTTGGAAATATTTTTTAGAAAATAGGTTATTCGTATTTACTATTAAAAAATGCATTGTGTAATATATATATATATTGTTGGAAGCCATGCAGATTGAAGTTTATTGTGTCGTGTCTCGAAGAACTTCTATCATAAACATGTATAGATTTTAGAATGTTCTTAGGACCCAACGTTTTAAAGTATAATACTTTTCAGATGGACAAAAATGCATTAAATCTTTATAGCTTCTACAGGGATATAAACACGAAACTTGCATAAGTTTAAGAGATCCTCGGTGTACAATTTGATCACGTGTTCCTTAGTTGACAGTCGTATTTAGTTTCACACGTCTTGTGAGGTGTCTCGTCTTGTCATAAAGTGTATTATATTCATACAATAACTTTGAAGATATATCGAAGTGTCTTAATAAAATTAAAATAAAAAAATATAATGTAATATTGTAGGAATCAATACGAATATTCTCTAATAAATATTTAAAAGATAGAACCTGAATATAAAAAGATTTTCACGTAACATTACAGATTTGTAATTTTTATGTTTAATGAATAAAAATTATAAGAAAGTGAATTTAAAATTAGAAAAAATAATACAATATTTATAGAAAAGTTGAATTACTTTAAAACTGAATTGTTAAACTATATTTAAATTCTACTTTACGTGGTTAAATATTTTTTTAAATAATAATAAAATAAAAAAAAGTATATTTTAGTAATTTTAAATCGGAGGAAAATATAATAATAATAATAATAAAATTTTAAACGATGACCTACCAAAATTAAAATTCTTATAAAAAGTGATAGAAAATTGAATTTTTTTTTTCATTTCAAATTCCAATAAATGGTAGTTCTTTCTGTTATCGATGTAATAGAAAAAAATACATTGAATTAAAAATATAAAAAAAAATAATCTATTATTTTTATTTTTACTATAGTAAAATGTAATCTGTTTTAATTGGGTGTGGTTTTTCTTCCCCCTTTAATCGATTTTTTACTTTTCAAAATTGGATTTTCAAAAATAAAATTATATATACTTATATATAAATGAAAATTTTTAAAGATTTTGGAAATTACATTCTAAAGACTTAAGTTGATTTAATACATTTATATATATATAATATATAAAGCCGAAAAAATACATTTACAATAATTAAAAAATTAATTGCGATATTTAAAAAATGATAAAGTAGTTTAATGTTTAATACTTTTTAACTACTTTAAAATAAACTTTTTTTCATTTAAAAATAATATATTTTTCTATTATATTTTTATACATTTTAACAGATAGATATAATCTACATTCTATTCTTTAAAACTCGTAAAATTAATGAGTTAAATAAATCATTTTTATGAGTAAAGATAACCGGTGAATATAAAGATATATATTAATTGTTTATCCAATATAATTTTAATAAATATTCTCTCTTAATTTTCCAATTTTTATCTGTCGATAGATTCTTAACTAAGCTACCATAAGCGATAAAAGTACACTCGAAGTTGAAGGATATCGATGATCATACAGTAACATTATTGAAAATCATTTCTCAAAACAAAGACATAACAATTATGATTATTTTTATATTATATTAATCAATATAAAAACGAATTACTACTTTAAAAAAAATATATATATATTTGTAATGATCTTTAGCAATTTAAATTTTATATTTAAACAACGATTGAAAAGTTTCTTCATTATGAAATTTGTGTCGACAGACTGAACAATTTGAATATATAATTGATGAACGTATTCAAATATTTGAACATCGCTGAGCGGTCTCATTAAAAACATTATTTAACATTGATTACTTAACTTGAATATGTGTATGATACTTAAGAAAGAAGAAAACGAGACGTATTTGAATATTCAGTACAGTTTTCTCGGATCAACAAATTGTAATTCTAGCTTTAATAATGCAAAAGATATATGTTTTAGAAAGATACAAATCTTTAGAATAGTGTAATTAACGAACTCAAGTAAATGTTGAAAAATAAAGATTTAAACAATTACTCATGTAAAATGGAAATTGTTAAATTTGATGGGGAAGACAGAAAATGTTGAAAAGTTGAGATGGAAATTTATGAAAAGTCATACGAGTAGAATTTTTGGCAGACTAATGTTTAACAGAATCTGTAATTTGCGAAAACATTCGGATAATACTGACATAAAATGATACAAGTCTTTATTATCGGATCAACGAAATGAGAAATGGATAAAACGGAAATTACCATTTTTGTCGTCTTTTGTAGAAAACAGAATACAGCTCATTTACTGCAACAAATGATCCTATCTAGAAACATTGAGAAAGATTATTATTATAGAAACTATTGTTGCATTTATCCTTTGAATAAATGATGAACATTTCATTATGACAGTAAAGGTAGAATTACTAAAAATTTGTGAATTCGCCACTCTTTAACACAATGAATCAAATTAGAGTAACGTGAACACACGCCTAAAAATATAAGTTTTTTTTTTCCTATAAGAAAAACTAATTTGCAAAGAATACAAGTAGTATAACATACATAAAATACTAAACTTGTAATAAATTATGATAATTTATTTAATTATTGATAATAAATTAATTCAGGTAATAAAACGTCAAATTTATTAACACCACCAGTCTAGATTCAAGCTGAATGAAAGTTTAACAATGTTCATTCGGGGGCTCACGTGTCTTTGTAATATACATAAATTAATGCAAAATCTTTTCATGTTGCTATTATTTTAATTAAATATATATTTTGGATTGAATTAATAGTAACATTATTAGTTAATATGACACTTTATGTAAGCGAAAAAGAACGAATTCGATACTTTAATGGAATGTCCTTTGTTTATACTTTGTTCTCCATAATCATGTTTAAGATAAAATTTGAGACATCAATTAATTGAAATAATATATAATACATGATAAAATATTTAATTTTTATCTTTTGGAAATTAAATCAGCATTGATCTTTTAATAAAATAAAAAAAAATGTCAGCAATTGAAGAATCGCAAACTGTTTTCAATAAAGAAGACATCTCTGACGTTTCTCAACGTCAGCTGTAAGAATGTTGCTTATAATTTGTAGAAAATAATTTTAAAAAATATATATATAAACTGTCAAAGATCAAAACATATCACAGGTGTCATAAAAAGTTAGATGAATGCCATAAAAAAAATTAAAACTCTATTACATTAATGACCCATCTTAAATTCACATTAGCTGATACAGTGGCATTTGTGATAATTTTAGATGATAGTTATCATTTCGTATATAATCAGAGAAATATAAATTTTAAAATCGAGATGGATTCTTATCTTTTATCAGTAAGCTGAAGATATTATCAATGATTTCGGGTGTAAAAAAAAACTATCAAAATAAAATTGATTTAATGAATAATTTTTTTAAGTTAATGTCTCAAAAAGTATATATAAAAATTTAATTCATTTAAAAATGCTTTTATACACTTCATAACTTATAACAATGTTTGATTCAAGAGTAGAAAGTTCGTTCCCATTATTACGACGAATAATGAAACAAACGATAAAAGATTTATTGGAAGAAGAATGTATTGGTAATTAAATCAACGTTGTTGGATATGGAGCAGAAACGAATTAGATATTGCCAAATTAACCTATAAGATTGCTAAAGATTTTTATGATAATGGATTGTCATACAATTGAATAAATTGGAAAAAAAAACGAGTTTGTAAAAATTCATCAATATTTAAACACGATAAAAATTGTTGGAAAAGTTTCTAATGTGTTTAATCAACTATTCGTACATATTAAATATTTCATGGGCTTAGGATATACTTTAATATATATCGTTCATAACATTTACACTTCATCAATCTATCATTAAATGTATTTTCCTTTTCTAGAGAAAGTTTTTAGATTTAAACGAGTACCAATCCTCTATTTGTCTTCGTTTGGGCTGAAGTCAGGAAAGGAATTTTTGGTCATAAATAACGTTACCAAAGTCTTCAAGAATGGTTTTGATCAAAGCATTGTTGATTAAGTAACATTTAAAAAAAATTAAAAGAATTTATGTTATTGACAAACATTTATATGAACCTAAAGAATTGAAATTAGTCATCAAAGTAGGAAATGACAGATAAAATGGCTGTATTTTAACAGTTTTATACTAAAAGTCATACGAGAAGTTTTCTTAGAATTTAATTATTCTAAAAAGACTGGAAATAATTAATTTATAAGAAAAGCAAATTATATTCTTTACTAATTAGAAGAAAGAATCTTAGAGAAAGTAACCATATATATATATATATTTTTTTAATTTNCATTGAAATTTATTGGAAAATGAATTAACTACTGAAAATTTTAAACAATTCAATAACAGAATTTGACATTTTTCCTTTAAACCGTTTATGCATTTCTACAGATCTTACGATTTTCGAAAAGCATTACTTAACTGTAAACCTGAAAAATTCAGTTATATCTATTTTTTGGAAGAAAATGGATCAGGTCAAATCTCCACTTTTCCTAATAGCGTGCTTTCAATTGTCAATCCTTTTATATCCACCAGTCTGAGTTTCAACTACTACAAAAGCCTTCAAAAAGGAAAGAAGAAAAAAGCAAAAAAACTTCCATACCAAAGCCTTTCTGTATTGATATATATATTTTTTTAAGTTCACAAACAGGTGGAATTGGATTTAGTTAATCTTTACCTTCGATAAAAGTATTCGAATAAAGATTTGAAAAAGAACAATAAATCAATGCCCAAAGCGATTATTCGATAGTTAAAAACTGATGTGTTAATTACAGTAAAAATAAATATTGAGCATTAGACTAATTTAAATCAAGTGAATTTTAGTAATGAATGAAAAATAAAGGAATTATCCTGCAGGCAAGAATTTGAAGGACGAGAAAGATATTTATAGAAATTTAATTACTGGATAACCAACTGAAGGAAATTGGAAACAATTCCAGATAATTTTTGGCGTCAAGAAACGAATAGGGCAATTCTTCTTGCGTTTAACTAAATGAATACAGTATATACTATAAAAATAAAAACTACTAGATATATGTTGATTATTCACGCAAATAAAAATGCAGAAATACCGATCATTAGCCTACTGCTTACGAAGACATTAAAAAAATAATGCTTATATATCAGTATAAATGAGTCGAATAAAACCAATTACTGTATAAAGTATTCTCAATATCATTAAAGATGAAGCTATATTACTGTAGTAAGCAAGTAATTTGCTAATACAGAAATTAAATTATATATTCAATATGGCCTCAAATTGAACAATATACGAATTCTAAGATGGTTAAATTTAAAGCTTTTTATTATAAAACATTCTCGTTTTAATTCAATGATAGATTTGGAACATCATGACCAGTGGCAGATCTGTTTTATATTGGTCTGTTATAGCAGAAATGTGCTTTATTTTCTGTCATTTTCTAACAGGTTTCCGTAGATTCTCTAAAATATCTTGGTTCTTATGTTTTTAGCTTTCTATAATTTGTTTCTCACTTTAAATTTTATTAATCAAATCAAAACTCTAAAAAGAATATCCGTCCCAAGAAAGAACGAAACCTCCAAAACTCATTAATGGCACATACTATTAGTAAGCATCAAGAAGAGAATCGCCAATGAAGAAGAATGAACATTTTTCTAAATATGGAATATTCCAGCGTATTGTGACCTGGAGTTACAGTGAAAAGCAAAGAAAGAAGAGAGCGACAGTACAAGTAGGACTTAGAATAGAGTGGATCCAAGATGTGGAGGACTTCATCATCGACCCGCCAATCAACGAACTAAAATCTTAGTTGCCATCCGGATATCTTACTCTTAATTCTTCCCTTCGCTGTTGGACATGAAGTCTCAACCGACTAATCTTCAGATTTCACATTATCATAATGTTTTTTAAACCAGATATTATGTAAATTCTCACTCTTAAACAAAGGGTGTCCGAGGTTCGTTTAGGCCATCGCTCGAAGTGGCCATATTCGTAAACCTCAAACTGCCAACCTCACATTAAACGATAAACTATATTTAAACAGACATATTTGTGAACATTGTGTTCAAAATCTGTATTAAATTGTTTTTTTTTATCACGCAAATTATATAAATAAGATCAATTTGTGTATCTTGTGAGTCAATTTGAAGACATTTATTTGCATTGAATTTCTCATTTTATAAATAATTTTTTTGACTTTGTAAAAGAAAAAAAGATTCGATATAAATTTTTTACTGAGTATATAATAAGCTTTAAGGAAATATTACTTTTATTCGATTTTCTTCGTATTTTTTGTTTTATTTTACTTACATAATAAAATCCATTAAATCAAATCCAATAAACGGATATTTTTATAAAATTAATTCTATTGATTCTATAAGAAGATTCAGAGAAAGAACTAATATAAGCTTAGATATTTTTACACAGAATATTTTTGTTTGTTGACTATAAAAATGCATTTATTTTGGCAGTTTTATGAGAAAGAATTTATACAAGAAGAATCAATTTTTATTGTTAAAAAAACTGTGCCGAAAAATCTTTAAATAGATTTCTCTAGTCTGACTAATTTTAATAAAGCATTGTTTAATTTTTATATTTAAAAATGGCTTGTAATTTTGCCAAATTAATTAAATTTTAAGCGAAATTCTACACACTGTTTATCATAAATGTGAAAGAATTGTATGTTTATTTATAATTATACACCTGGTTCTTTCAAATGTAAATATTTCATATAATAAACACAATAAATTATTTTTATTTTTATATAATAAAATATAATTTAGATGGATAAAATCTACGTAAGTTTGCCACATTAATAGAATAAATTTTGATAATTTTTCTAGGAAATAAAGTTTATAAGATAGATTTAAATTTCTTATCTACAAATAGATTTTTCTCTAGAGATATTAATTCTTAATTTAAAC